ACATCAGGAAAATGGCTCCCTTTGTCCCTTATGTCTTTGCAATCAATTTGGTGCTACCATTTCAGTTTGTTTGATTCTTTTTACTAAGAAATCTTCAGGGTTTTTTTAATTTTTTTTTTCCCTGGCTGAATGAAAATGATTTAACAACAGGGGAAAAAAAATCTGGTAATTAAATAAGGGGAAATAACATCACTAGGGTGAATTGCAATGAATAATCCTAGAGATAAGCCACAGCAGGAAAACAGCTGGGGTGTCTTTGTACATAAACTACAGGCTCGTTTTGGGTTGTGACACAGATGCGTCTGCTTCAGTACGACTCCCTGAATACACACAGGGAAGGAGCTGGGGGCTCGGCCCAAATTCACCTGCATTTTCTTTGCTGAGATGGCGGTGAGACCCAGGGCGATGTACCACAGGGCTCAGACTGACCTCCCTCTCATCTACCTGTTCAGCTTTCCCATCCGCCCACCTTAGTCTTGAGGTACCACAAGTTTTGCCTCAAGTTGCCATCCAGGATCAGGGTTTGGGAAGGGAAAAGCACCACACTGATATGTCTGTTCACTGGCAAGAACTCAGCAAAGGGATCTGGACAGTGATCCCTTCAAATGGAGGCACGGCAACTGGCCGTGCCTCCTAGGCACTTTGCCAACACCCAGTCCCCAAGCAGTGCGATGGCGCTTCCCAGGCAGAAAGTAACTAATGCGGCACACCAGTTCTGATCCAGTGTAAAACGGGGCATTTCCAGGACAGCAGCAGCTCCCGAGCACCTAGGCGGAGGGGTGGCCAACGCTGTGCTCACAGCAGGGCTGGGAGCTGTGAGAGGATGGGGACGTGCTCCACCCTGCCCGGAGGGGTAGCCCCCCACCCCATCCTCTTCCCCTTGCTCTTTGCCGGGACCCACAGGGATGTTTTATACCTCCTTAGCACCTCTGATGAAAAGGGGGCAGAGAAGCAGAGGATTTTTCAATTGAGGCAGCCTGAGGGTCCCTCGGAGAGGTGGCCCAGCCTGGGAGCTCATGTGCGCAGCTGTGAAAAGTGCATCACCACTTAAGATCAGCAGCTTGACTCCAGCCCGCCAGAATCTCGCCCATTGCAAGCAACTGAGGCACAAAGGGACAAGCGACACCGTCCCCCAAGGAAAGATTTTTCCCTCTGCCTCCCCTCGCAGCCCAGGCACTGGGAGGCCCCTGGGGCCACCAGGCAGATTGCCCCTCCAGGGTGAGTACTGCACAGTCGCCAGCACCTTCACTCCCCTGCAGAACCTCCCAGGAAGCAGGATGCACATGGTCTTCAATTTGGCATCTCTACTGAGCTTGCCCTCGCGTTTGGGTAGAGACAGGTACCACTTTCTTCCTGATGCTGGTAGAAAACCTGATCTAATTATCTTCAAGGCCCCCCTCAGAGTAATTTAACCCAGAGAAGGGAGTGATGCTATTACTGGATCAAAACAGCTCTCAGGTGAAACATCAATCTGATTTTTCCCCCCCCCCTTCTTTTTTCTCCTGCCTTGCTATGGATTAATGGCTAATCACTTGGCTAATTACCACCCCAAGAGTCTCCTGGCCAATTAGCTGACCTTGCAAGGGACAGCAAGAAGCAAATCATTGCACAGAGGTGGCATTTCTCTATGGCTGTGGGGGATAATTGCACCAATGGAGTGATGCTGAAGGGCCCAAGGATGAGAGGAATGCATTATTGAACCTTGACCTTGCAGGGTACCTCACCACTGTGCCGGGCAATACTGTCTAAGGATCTTTCACTCCAGGTTTGCCGAGGTTCTGGATGAAAAATAATCATCTGACCCCTCTTCTGAACCACACTGATGAGTTAAGTGGCTGAGCTCTTTCCTACACTTGTGCTGGTGCAGTACTGGGAAGCAAAAAGCGTGATACAGCAGAAAGGGAACAGTATATAGGCTCTAGCTTGGAAATACCATATTGCTTCTCTATCTCCTTTTCTTTCTCTGAGTCCCACTGGTTTTTTGAGTCCCCATTCAGCTAACTGTGGACACTGCGTGAATGGCCAATGAATAAGGCAAGGAGGCTACATCTCAAAAAATGACCCCTCTAAGTGCGAGGCTAATAACTACCAAAGCATATTTCTTAGGACTCCTTGTTCCTATTTCCTCCAAGCCATACACTAACTCAGGAACAGTCATACTGCCCCGTTCTCTCCCAGGCCCGTCTGCATTTGCAAGGCTTCGTACCTTTGGTCTTTAGGACGTAACTTCACTGTGGGCTAGGGCCCCGCAGTGCTGTGGAGTCAGTGCAATGTGAATTTGCTAGATTAGACCAGTGGCCCCTGCCTGTGGCCAATGCAGAACATGAAAGAATCACTGCTGGACCCTGCAGATTTTATAAAAGGTTGTTTTCTTCCAAATTCATCTCCTTGCAGTATGTATCTGTGCTGAAGGAAATTTGCAGAGAAGGGTCTGTGCCACCGATTTCCACTCTGCGCTTGGTCATGGACCACCCAGAGTTTGATGTTGGAGACGTTGTCACAACCCTTTTTAGAGACTAGTTGTGAAATTCAGATCTAAAGGATTATTTACATGAGAGATGGACTTTGTTGAGAATTATCTCTGAATCACAAACTGTGCAGGCTCTGCAGCATACCCCATGTTACATTATAGTAAGCTGCGGCTAAGGTACAGTGCTCAGCTCTGTCCTGATCCAGATTACAGGGTTCACACTTTGGGGAATTAAAGCGCTCTGTATGCTGTTATTCCAAGGCACTGGAGGGAAGTCATTCCCCCTGCAGGTTTACAACTGCCCCTAATAATCAGCCCCTACTAGTAATCAGAGATACGGAGAGATGTTAGGGATTTCATTTCCTTTATTGGGGGGTTGCTTGGTAGCAGGGTGCTCCTGGTGGCAGTGGACGGACACGGGAAGGTTTAGCCGTATGTTTTAAGGTTCAGCCTGAGAGATCCCAAGGGAATCTCTGTCTGCCCTGCTTTGAGTGGACATAAAACAGCCTTCCTGTGGTGTATGGCTGTTCTGCCAGAAGCCAGGAAGCCTGGAGGGCTGGCAGGAACAGCAGAAAGATTACAGCGTAACAGTTGGATTTCCCATTCCCCTACACCACTAACGCAATAAGAGCAAGCTACAAACTGTGGATGGCTCAGGCTGAGCTTCATGTTGTCTAGACCAAGCACCACACGCAAGGAAAGCACTGGAGGTTGCCTGGATCAGAGATCTGTCCTTGACTCATCTGCGTGGGTCTGACTCTCCACCCTCCCTTTTGTAGCAGGATAACCGCTGGATGCTATGGAACAAAACCCAGCGGGTAAGGCAGGAGGAGAATTAGTCCTGCTATTTTTAGATGTGCATGATAATACAGCTCAGAAAACTGGGGATTTCTTTTCAAACAAAAGATTTATTTATACATGAAATTAAAAAAAAAAAAAAAACAACCCACAAGAAGAAAAATAAGCCCCAACCCAGTGCATCTAATTTGGATATAGTCAGTGTCAGACAGAGGGCCCTGAAGTCTGGAATCCCATTTATCCACAGAGCAGAGATAGCAGCAATCCAAGCCTCCCCATCACAATGCAGTGGCTCAAGGGAAGGAGGATGAGATCAATACCCCAGGCTCACTCACTCCTGCCCAGTCTACCAAGCCTTTGCTTAGAAGAGGGATGTGATATTGAACAAGTGGCAATCAATGCGACTAAGCAATACATCTACGGGCTGGGGTTGTTGCTAGGAGCGTTAGAGAGAAGCACCCCCATGCTCTGACATAGAAAAGGAAAAAAAAGTGTAAACACATGACAATTAAGTCTTAGTGGTATAATAAAACTCAGGGGCCTGATCCTGTGGTGAAGCCCTCAAAGACACTGGATGGTAGCCTGGGAGATCTGCCCTGCCAGGGTCTGCAGACCAGAGCTGAAGGCAGCGAGTCTGTGGGAGAAGCGAAGTGGTATCGGTTGGGCCCCTTCCCCAGGCAATGGCAGCAAGGTGTGTGCGTGACACGCCGTGCACAACCGTTGTGCCAGAGTTAACTGCTCTGTGGCTGGTACTAGCAACAACAACAGCAACAAGAACAAAAAGAGCCAGCATTTCTCTGAGCCATCACAGGGGAAAAAAATGTCAGCAATAAATACTCCTTTTCTTTCTTTTAAAAGAACACTCAAACAAAGACAGAAAATGAAAAGCCAGGAAATAATAAATTGTAGGAAGAAAATGGCAGCTCTGTTTCCCTGCCCTGCTATCAGCCCATGCACCTGGGGTTTGTTCTAGAGCTTTTTCTCCCCCCCTTTCTCCTCATTTTCCTTTTATTGAGTCATTAAAAACTAGGAGTGGATCTCCCCAGGCGTGCAGTGGGCAATGGGAACGCTACCCAGACCCCACTGAGAAGAAAGTGATTAGGAAAAAAAAAAAATCAGTTCACCTGATAATGGCACCTATGTTTCCACTGCCATAAGCTTTCCTGGCCTCTGTCCTTCTGCGGACAGCCCACTTGACCCCCTCCCAAGGTTAAAAAAAAACAAAGAAGACAACATACAAACAAATTCCAGTGTTTCAGGGGTGCGAAAGTGGGAGGAGGAACCTCGGGGAGGGAAGTGGGGCCGAAGGGCACTCTGAGACATGAAGACACAAACAGAGTGTAATATACAGGCTGGGCAACAGTCGTTAAAGCAAATAGTAACACCTAAGCCACCGACCAATACAAACACCACAGAAGGGGACAAAAGTCATCAAGAGAAATTAAAAAGCAAAACCAAAACCGAGAAAATAATTACCCAACCTCCCACCTCCCATACGCCCCAAAAATGATCTGTAAGCAAAGCTGCCCTCCCTCCCCGCTCGCCCCAGCCCGCCCTTCCTGCCAGCGCTGGAAGCGTCCAAAGTCTCTGCCGAGCACCCAGGGCTGGCCAGGGGCGTGCGTGCGTGTGCGGGGGGTGAGCGTGCGTGCAGTGTGTGTGCAAGCGGCCGCGGCACGCTCGGCTCCGCTCGGCAGGGATGCAGGGGGAGCGGGAGGGCATCACTTGTGTGTACGTGTGTGTGTGTGTGTGTGTGCACGTAGCAATGGGGTGCCGAGCTACACGTACCACTCCTTTTTGGAAATAAAAGATCCGTCGTTCTGTGAGACCATGTTCTCCGCTATGTCGAGCTGCTCAGGGTCGTACTGGAAGCCGAGTGTCCTTTCGTCGTAAGGTTCGGGGTGCGCCTCCCCCTCGTCTACCGTGAAGTAAGGCCGCTTAGCATCCTCCTCGTATTTGTTGGGGCCACCCAGCTTGCGCTCGCCTCCTGCGTCCTCATCCTCGTCTTCGTAGGTGCTGCCGCCCAGCGGGCCCGGCTTCTTCTCGTCATCCGAGTCATCGGGGTACTGGAGGTTTTGGGCCATGGGGGGATGATGCTGCGGGATGCCAGCCTTGCTGTAGCCATTGCCGTACACATGCTTCTTTGTGCTGTAGTCACCCTTGAAGGTGTGACGCCGGCGCCGGAGTACCACAAAGAGCACCACGGCCACCACCAGGACCAGCGAGACTCCTCCCACTATGCCCCCAATCACCGGTGTGGGGATGTTCGGCTGCACCATGGATTTGCGATCATCGATTGGAGACGGGAAGGAAAAGACAGATGGAAGGGGGAACAGTGTCAAACCATGCGGAAACGCGCCCTCCCTCCATGCTTTCATTGCCATTTTTGGGGGGTGAGGGGGTGGGAAGATGAGGGTAAGGAACAGGGAAGGGAAAAACTAGGGAAAGGGGAAAAGGGTGCATCCACACAGGGGTCAGCGCACGGGAGCTCTGCCTTAGCAAGGGGAACGCAGCGTGCCGTGCCAAGCTCGCCAAGCCTCATGCAGGAGCCCAGCAGGCTGGAAGCAGTGTTTCCCTCCCCACCCCACCTGGTTTCTCCAGACGTGCTCAGATCCCACAAGCCCAGTGCCTTGAGTCCGGACGCTTTCCATTTTACCGGGTGACATTTCAGGTCCAGTTTGCCAGAGCATACTGACAGCCCCAGGGTGCTCCTGCTGGGGAGCAAGACCCAAACCTCATCCAACGGTGGGCACCGAGCTGCCACGACTGCTCCTGTAGATGCCACGCTGGATCTGCCAGCTTTGCATCCCCCTCCTCGGCACCCCAGCCCAGTCTGGGTCAGGCCAGAAGGCAGCGGCACCTTGTGATCTCCCCTCCCACCCACCCCACAAATGATCTGCGGCTGCACAGTGCTGCTCAGGGTCACGGCTGGCTCCTGAACCCGCTTGCTGATCCGGCTGCGCTGTGCAGCACAGGGACACAGGCCTCCCACTGTTTCTTTTTCTTCTGCTGTTATTGTGGCCAGCGCAGAGCCACTACTCATGCTAATCTTGTTCCTACAGTTACCCTGACCTATTTAAAAAAATAAATAACTCAAAAGAGAAAAAGAAAAGAGAGGAGAAAGAAGCTCTCTTCTCTTTCATGCAGTTCAACACCTACACTTCAGCACAGATAAAGTTTGATCCAAGACTTAAATCAACCTTCGTAGCACTCCCTGGGCACAGTTACAACCCCTGGCCAAACTCAGCTTTCACAAACTGCCTGTTCAGCATCCATGTCCACGAGGCATTAAGCACCACATGGCTGTCTCAGTCCTTCACCTGCCTCTGAATTTAGACAGCAGGCACCTGCTTAATGCCCCCTGGCAGCCTTGCCCTTGCACACCATGCTCAGACCCCTCACACTGCTTTTTCCACTCCCAAGGCCTGTCTGCCAGCCCTGCTCATAGCTGCGAGTCGTTATTGCTGCTCTGGAGCATCCTGGCCCTCACTTTTTACCCCAGCAGCCAAGGAGAGGTGCAGACTGACTAGTAACCTCCGCACCCCCTCCCAGAGCAGCCAGGACAGGGCGATGGGGAGGGAGGGCCTCAAAGGCAGCAAATTCAAAAGGGATATGAGGCAGAGCCTGATTCCTGCCACCTCTTCATGCGCCTACGGGACTGCCTGCTGCTGGCAGCCACATTTCCGCTTTAGGGCAGGAAGCCCTGAACAAGCAGGAGCTGGGTAGGGAGTGGGTCGCCCTGCAGCACAGCTTAGCCCAGCCGCTAAGGAAGAGGGGAGAAAAGAGCTTCCCCCGGGTAGAGGCAGCTCCTGAAACAGCTGCAGATTTTGGACAAGGGTACCAAATTCGAGCAATTGCTGGCCTGATCCTTGCAGCATAAATGTTTTGCTTGTGCCTGAGAGCTGTTTCATTCCTGCCCTTCCTGAGACATCATCCCAACAACAGCATCTTGGTTTCTGCAGTGCTGACTTGCCTTGAGCAAAACCTCACGAGCCTGAAACCACGCACAGAGCAGCACACTGGGCAGAAAGGGGTGGGGGGCAGGCAGATGGAGGGGCTCCCTGCTGCAGGCAGAATGAGGAGCAAGACACTGTGCAGGCAGGAGACAGCATCTCTTTCCAGAGACAGCCTTCAGAGGGCATGTATTTCTGAATAGAGAGATGGGGTTGGGTTCTGGAAAGCCAAAACCACATGTTGCATCAACAGACAGCTTGTCGTAGCCATCTGGTTAATGCAAAACCTCTCTGCAGACAGCAAGAAATGTCACATCCATCCCCTGGTAGTCCTGGCTGCTGAGGGCTCAACTTCAACCACACAAGCGTCCACAGAACTCCTGCCCATGCCACCTTCCCAGGCCTGCTCCTTGCCATCACAGCCTCTGCAACCCCATGGTGCCCAATTCCCAAAACTGTGCACAAAGCAGGGGTCCACCTGGAGCTTAAGTAGGTGCAGGGAAAGCCCAGCAGGCTGGCTCAGACCCCAGGGGCTATATCTTTGATTTTCCCCTACCCCGCAGCTCCTATCTGAAGCCTCTTCCTACCTCGTTTTTCCCCACAGCAAGGCTGATTTTGTGCATGGGACCATGGGTCCCAAGACCCTACCCTGAAAAGACCCAGACATGGTGTGCATGCTGGGCGCAGGGTCCCTACAGCCATACTGATCCCCTCTGCCTCCCAGCTCTGGAAAACAGACAGATCTGAGAGGGGAAGTCTGTGCACAATTTCAAAAGGAGCTTGGCCCACTTTTCTATTAAAAGCCTCATTAACAGCCCAGGTTGGACGCATGAAGTGAAAGGGGGAATGTTTTTCTACCTTTCTCATATATATATTTATTTTTTTCCTGCCCTTTGTGCTGCCCGCCCCTGAGATAGCACTCGCCTACACGCCACCCCCCTGCCACTGCCAACGCCGTGGACACGAAAACTAACACGCCGCTGTGTTGGATTTCACACAGTGTTCGGGGAAGGAACTATTTTCTGCTCAGATCCCATCCCCGTCCTCCTCGCAGTGGCCCAGTTCCCATGCCAGAGAAAACAAAACCAAATCTGTGGGAAGAGAGGGAGAAGAAAGATGGGAGGATCGCAGGCCAGCAGCCGAAATCATCCCCTCCCTACCCACACAGTTACCCCCCTCCCTCGTCCGCCCACCCTCCGCACTCCCCCGGAGCCTGGAAAGGCGGGTGGCTCCGGGGGTGCAGCGGGGGAAGGTGGCTGAGCCCCGGGTGGGGGGGACACGGCTACACAGGAGCGTGAGTGACCCAGAGAGGAGGGGGACAGGCCGCTCCGGAGCAGGGAGGGCACAGGCCGGACACCGCCGCTGGATGGCGGGAAAGGGCGGCGCCCCCGGGGGGGGGCCCACCCCCGCCCCCCCGCCGGAGCCCCTCGCCGTGGCCGCCGGGCTGCAGGGAGCGGCCATGAGCCGGGAAAGAAGAGGGGGTCCCCGGCCTGGGCTCTGCCCTGGCGGGCCTCTGCCCTGCCCCAAGGCCCCCTCGCAAGGCCGGGCGGGGAGCCCCGCGCCAGCCCGGCTCCCCCCGCCGCTGGCTCCCTTTGCTTTCGGCCTACTCCAGGCCTGCCCCAGGGCCAGGCCCCGGCCTGGATCCCCGCGGCCCGCAGCTGCCGGGCGCAGCCTGGCAGGCCTGCAGCCTCCTGCCACCTCGGCAGCCGGGTTAATTAATGACTCGGGACAAGGCCAGCCCTCAGCTCCACAGGCATCCGCTGCTGTCAGCCCCACAAAGGGGGATTTACCCCTCTGCCCACTGAGTTTCGCGTCTGGGCTGCAAAAGAGAGCAGAGCCGCAGCCTGGGGAGAGAGGGGAGAAAGTGTGGGAAAAGGATCCCCTTTTTGTGTTTGAGGGGTGCGTGAAATTTCTGGAAACTGGTGCAATGCCTGAGCGTGCTGGGGGCCCCATGTGAAAAATCCATTAGGAAGAGTCTGGAGAGAATTAAAGCCGCTGTGAAAAGCGGACTGGAGAAACAGGAGACAGCGGAGTGGAGGGAGGGGGAACAAGCTAGGCTTTAATGCCAGCATAAAAAGCCCCCCCACCTCCTGCTACCTCCCAGCCCTCATAAAAAGAGGGACTGCTGTATGAATAGGAATTAAAGCAGCAACACTATCTGCCTGCTGCCCGGCTCTGCCAGCTGTTGCATTCAGCCCGGTCTCCTATCCCCGTGCCAGCAGCTGAACCTCTGGGGCGGCAGCTGGGAGCGCAGGGAGACAGGGGTCACCCTGGGCTTCACTCTGGCACCCGGCCAAGCCCACAGGTTCTCTTTGATCCCCCCAGGCAAGGTGGAGGGCTCGAGCGTCTCCCTGCCGTGGCTCCTGCCTTTTCCCTGCAGCATCCAGGGGCACAGCAGTGCTGCCACTGCAGAGACAAAGCAGGCCTTCTCCATCACGAGTGGCTTCAAAAATCCAGGTTTTAAAGAACACATCTTTCTTCTAATGGCTGGTTTCCAATAAAAATGAGATGTATGCAAATCATCCTGCCTGTCCATCAGTCCCTTACCTAATGCTTTCTGAACCTGCTGGCCAATTTCAGGGCTATCTGACAGAAGAAGAATGAGCCAAAATTATCCCTATCATAAAGCTCTTGGAGAGAGCTGGAGTGAGATCCCTGGCAGAGGTGGGAGCTAAACCTCATTAGACATCAGAGAACCCACAGGGACAAGAGGCTGCTCCCAAGGGCAGGAAGGGCCCAGATCAGAAAAAGCGTATTTTTAGACACCAAGTAATTCTTCTATGATATGCAGATCCACAGGAAACCAGCTTTCAAAAGCCCTTCTGCTCATCACACTGCTTAGATATTTTAGAAGATACTACTTCCTGTGGACACATTTTTTCTTGAAGTCACATTTCCATCCTTCAATCATAAGGGCCAAGGTAAAAACCCAGCACCAGCTGAGATTCTCACTGTAGCCATGGGCATTGAGGAAAATGTCAAACTCCATGAGAAATTACCTTTTGGACATGTGTCAGGCCTAGCTGCTCCTTGCATGGAGCTCCTCCAGAGGAAGGCCCTGGATTTCCTTCTGCCTTGCAAAATCAAACACCTGCTGCAATGGGAAGCAGGGGCCTTTGGCCAGCTTTAGCCAGGGTAAGCAGCAGCTCCGGGGAGGAGCAGGAACCTTAATTCCAACGGGCTTATGGAGCTTCCCAGTTTCCAGATGGCCTCAGCAAATACACTGGTGATCATGTGGGTTTTTTTACAAGACAGATTGCTGGTGGCAAACTTTCCCTGCCAGTAAAGTCCACGCCAAATTATCCCAGGACTTTGACCCACTGTGTTACAGACATGTACATGAGTGAAGACAGGGAGATACCTCTGGACCTGCCTCAGCCCGGACGGGGCTGCAATTTGAGAAGCCCGTAGCACTGCTGTCCTTTTTGCTTCACAACAGCCCTTGCACCTATGCATGCCCATCTCCAGCTTCAAGGGATCCTGCCTTTCCTCTCCTTACCGGGGATTTCTGCTCTCCTTGTGCAGGGCAGGGCAGGGGGGAGAGGAGGCAGTGGGGGTGGAAAAACCACTGGCAACTAATCCAGAAGTTTAGCAGCTGCCACTGGCATTTTAGAGTGTGACGACGGCTTTTAGGCCAGATGCCAAACATGTCTTAGGTTTTAATCTCTCTGTCAGGTCACCTATCGCTTGTCAATCAAGCGCTGCTCCCGCAGGGGCCGTTGGCACAGATGCCATCAGACAGGATGCAGCAGACACTGCTACCCGCCATCCGGAAGATTAGCATCAGACGGACCCCCCCAGGCTTGCTCCTCTTTAGCCCCAGGCCCTACGTCCTCCCACTGAAAGCAGCCACAATCGCTTGCTGGTGCAGCCTGGCATGGCCCTGGCCGGCGGCTGGGCTTTGGGTGCGCCTGCTCTGGGCTCAGAATTTAACGCTTCCCAGAAAGGGCTTTCTCTTGCGCTCCGAGCCTCAGCAAAGGCCTGCTGCCACATGGCAGAGGGCTCCAGCTAGCTCCACGGGCTGTTTGCAGTGACCTTGCTGGGACGAGATCACTGGTGGTGTGTAAATAACTCCCTGCTGCAAGCCAAGCAAACGGGGGGGGCCGTCAGCCCGTGCCAGCTTCTCCTCCCCGCCACAGCCTGTAGCTCATTCAAGGCCAGGGCTGCAAAGCCGCCTGCCCACAGGCTGGTATGGCCCTGGGCAGGGAATGGCACAGAGCCTCCCATCCTCACAGCCCCTCCCCAGGGCACCTGCACATCACGTCTGGTCTCCTGGAAATCTGGGGGGTGCAGAGGTGGGCCACACCAAGCAAGCAACCGGGGAACCTGCAGTATCCTGGAGGAAAAGACCGCTTCCCGCCCCTGGGAAAAAGGCGTGAGCCCGGCAGCAGAGAGGCTGATAGCGGTCACTGCCTCAGCACAGGCTCTGCTCTCCCTGCTCCCCCAGCTCTAGCACTGTGATTCTCCTTCGGTTTTGATGTTTGCCTGGTGCTTGAAGGCCCATGGGGAGAAGAGATGTTTTAACAACATCTTTCTCCTTGTGCTTCCTCTGACTGACGCCAGTACATAAGTGCATGAATGTCCCCCCGCATACACACACAAATGTATATGTACACACATGCACAGGGACCAGGGTATGTACGTGCACAGCTGCACACAAGCCCATACAGCCAAGCACAAATTCATAAATACATGCATATTCACACAGGCCAATGCTCTTGCACCCTGCATGCAGACGTGACCGTGCAGCAGGGCATCCCTGTGCAGGCATGCAGGTTTGGGAGGCCCATTTGCGTGCCACGATGCAGATCAGGGTCACACATATGTCTGTATGTACGTGACCAGCGCCCTGTGCAAGACCACCACACCCATGTGCAGGCACGCAGGGACACGCATGCAGTCTATAACCACAGCCTTTTATTATGTCACCCAACTGCCTGTAATAAATAGTTACATGTCACACTACATGGCTTGGCTGCGACTGACAAAGGTCCTGCAAGGCAGGAGAAGCTATTATAGGAACAGATTGCTGGAATAAAATATTAAATTTCCACTTATCAATCTCTTTAATGCGCTATAACTCTAATAGAAGCATTCAGCCTTCTCCCTCTCAACAAATCGCCCTCCCCATGTGGGGACTCAACTAGCCCTGCACTCCTCCTCTCTGGGGCCGGGGCTGGGGGGAAGGATGCTGGGTGGCAGGAGGGGGGGACGTCTGTACACAGGGAGACAGGAGGGGGAAAAGCCGCTGCAGGGTTTTCTCTGCATCAGTCTTCTGGTTTTTTTTTTTCTCCCAACGCTGGCTGCTCACTAGATTGAACTCCGTTTATTGCATGCAGCTCTTGAAAGAGGTTTCGTGGTCCACTGACAATCCCTAAATTGCCTGCAAGACCCAAACAAATGTACCTGTAATAGCTGAGCGAGGACGGCTGAGCCCTCCCCAGCACTGGCCTAATCGGTCCTTAGGGAGAGCTGGATAAACATATTCAGATCCCATGAATTATTAAAGGCAGGTTTTTTATGTGGTGGAGGCCTGGCCTAACGGGTTGGCTGCTAATCCCTCCTAGCGGGGCAGCGGCTGGTGTGCCCTTCCTTCCTTCTCATTTAACCTCAACCCCACAATTCGGACCTTTGGGAATAAATTGAGATTACAGGCAGGCGACATCAACCCAAAGTCATTCCTCAGAAATCCTGCCACTCCCAACTTCCCTTACCCCTGAAAAAACACCAGGAAGGGAGACATTTACCAAAGCCCGGAGGGGGAACCCACAGACCCTCGTCCCTAGAGGAGCCCGTGCCCGTGCAGGCGAGTTGGTGCAGCCCACGTGGGCTGCAATGCTATCGTGGCGCTGAGACAGATAAAATGCTGGCAGGTGGCAGCAGGAAATATGAAGAGAGAGCTGTATCTGGTGTTTGGGAACATGTGTCCTGACACCGCAAGAGATACGGGGTGGTTGGATAGACAGAACAACAGCAAGAAATAGACATACAGGCTATGCAGAAATGGAAAACGAGACACGGTGAAGAGCGCCTGCTCTTCTCTAGGTCTTCTGTAATACCTATCCCACCTCCTTCTCTGCGACTGGGGACTGAGCTTGGAGGCTTTTTCTTTCTGATCACTGTTTCAAATGTGACCCAAGGTGCTAATTACTGCGTGGGATGGTTTTCTATTGCCGGGGGCAAGCGAGTCTGCTCAGTTTGTACCAGGCAGTTGCCTGCACTGTCCCAGAAACACAGTGCCTTTGGTAGCAACTCCCATGAAATGGCCAGCAGCTGAATGGATTTTGGCCATGACCTTCCCCCGGCTTCGGGTGGTTGGGCAGGGCGGGTGCTGCGAGGCGTCTGTCCTGAACAAAGAGCTTTGTTATTCTGGTGCCTTTCACTGGCAAATGAGAAATCCCCCAGAGAAAAGCATATACCAGGAACAACTCAGCAGGCAAGGATCCAGGACAGGAGGTGTGAATTAAAGGCCTGCTACAGTGATAATGATCATAAATAAATACTTGGTAATTAGCATCTAATTAGCACATCTCATCCATTGACCTCCAAGCACTTGGATAGAGGAAGATTAGCCTGGTTTACCCATGTTACAGAAGAGGGGAACTGAGGAGGTGAGGGTGCCAAATTGCTAATTTCAGGAGGTCAGCTGCCCAGGCCTCGTCTTTACGCTTGCTCAGCACTTACCGCTGTAGAGAGCGGGTGGAGGGGGCTGGAGCTCGGCCCCTCTGAGAAGCCCTTTTCATCACGCTCAGGTTAGACAACTCTTCAGGGACTGGGGTGGCTCAGAGAGGTGGCCGGCTATCAAAACAGCAGGCGCTCTGATTTGCCTCAGGCTGGACAGCAGGAAGAGCTCACAACCCCGGGAACCCGTCCTGTGTTCCCCATGCCTTGGGAGCCCCCAGCGCACCTCACTGCTCATCCAGCTCGGAGGCACCCGTGCTGTCTGTGGCATTTACAAGATGCAGGCAGCCGGCTGCTCTCCCGCTCACCCAGCTGCAGTCACAGCCCCACTGCTCTCCCCAGAGAGAGCGGGTCTGGAGCTACAACACCCCACGGTCCCTGCTGTGAGCCCAGCTGGAGAAGTGGCCGTGTGCCGTGGTTTGTGCTGCCTGCCCACCTGGCAATGGTCCCAAGCTGGGGTGTAGGGCGAGCACCCAAAGGAGACCAGCGCTGAGCCCCCACAGTGCTGCTGGCCAGCTGGGGGGCCAGAGGAGAGCCTCGGCAAGTTGCCCCAGCTGCCAGGCATGTCTCCCGGGCAGGCAGCGCTGCTTCATCAGATGTTCTCTCCCTCCTTTATCCCCCGGAGAGCCCAGAGCTCACTGAAGTGTGGCAGCACTCCATCCAACTCACTACTGCAAGAGATGCTTCCATCTCTCTCATAAGACCCACAACTGCTGGCCACTGCCCATCATTAACCCACTGAGAAAACAAATTGCTCCTTTTACCCCAAAGGAATGGGGTAAACTTCCCTTCCCTGCTCTCAAAGCACCAACAGCCACTTTTCCCCTTTGGTGATGCCTTGCAATATCACTTTGTATCTCTGAAATCAGGCTACTGCCATATGTTATTTCTTCTCTTTACCCTATTTCTTGACATCACTTTCTCTCCCTGACACTACCTAAGCATATCCACATGTCTTTTCCTCACTCCTGTGGCTACACTGATTTGCAAGTCATCAAATTCCTTCTGTCCCATATGACATCACATAGCACCACTTTCCATTGTCTGCATCCTGTGATGCTATTCCTTTCTGGAGCCCAGACAAAGCTACTCAAGTGCTCACAGCCTCTCGGTAATCTGTAGCAGCCAGCTGAACAAATGCACAGACCAACATGGCATTGGAAGGAGCACAAATGAAAAATCATGAGAATTGCCTAACATTAGGAACACGAAACATCCTGAACAAATTACTCATCCATCTCATGCTTTACTGCCTCAGTGGCAGTCTATATCCTCATCCTACTCCTTCTTCTACCTTCTAACAAATATCTCCCTAACATGTCTTTGCTTTTAACACGTCCAATGATCTCTCTGAATCCAAAGCAGAAGACAAGGGGGAAACAAATTGAACGTATTTTGGTGTGAGAAAGGAAAAGACAACAAGAGGAAAGGAGAAAAAATCCAAGCCAAACCAGTGCAAAACCAGTGGAAAGCAAAGAACTTCACTGCTCCCTTTGCATTGTGGAACTCCCCACCCCTAGAAGGAGACACTAGTGATTAAGACAGACGTTAAGGAGATGTAACTGACTGGTAGTTGTCAGCCACTCATACTCTCCTCTCCCCTCCTCCTCCTCCTCTTCTGTCTTTCGAAGCACACCAAGTGTTTTCCTACCTGTGACATTGACTTCCACCAAGCCCGACCGTGTACCGATGGCGTTGGAGGCCTCACAGATGTAGGTGCCAGCCACGCTGTAGGAGACAGGCCCTTTAAAGTAGATGGTGTTGTTCTGGATTTCCACGCTCCCTGGCAGAGTCCCGTTTGGCCTAGGGGAAACAAAGGTCATGGTTGACCCCAGAGATGATACTCAGTAGGGTCAGGCAGTATTGCAGAGGTGACACTGACATGCTGGTTCTGCACTTGGCCTTGGGCAGGTCCAGAACCTGGCGGTGCTGGCTGGCAAATGCCCACGAATGTAGTCAGTCTTGAAACCAAACCCTCAGACAGCAGCATTACAGGAAAGAGTCAGTGGAGTGTCTCCAGGGTAAATCCACTGCATGATAAGAATCAGGTTCTTTACATGGATTTGTTTTTTTTTCCCTTCTCTGTGATTACAAGGGAGATTGGACATATTTGGGTCACATACAGCCCCTTGAATTTGGCTAATGGGATGTGGAGCACTTTCAGTCTATGCTCTCCCCTATCCAGAAAACAGACTCAGAGCCTTAAAGTGATTCGTTTTCCCGCACAATCCTCGAGTAGGTACAAGCTTAGGGTAAGATGGCCAGGTCGCTCTTTTGTTTCAGGCGGCTCACCTCTAGCAGGCTCATCTTCAGAGTGTTCCTCCATCCCTGACTTTCCATTTGATGGAAAACCAACCTGACCCCACTTTACTTCAATTCCCTGCACATGTAACTCTCCTGGGCAGCTGATCAGGCAGTGCTAATTGCAACTCAAGTTCGAGTAAAGCGGTGCTGATTTAGAGCCCTGCCATCTATGACCTGCCCATGTCAGAATAGTCAGATAAGTGTGAAACTGGAATAATGCAAAACTAAGTCTAGAGATACACAGAATAAATGAACAAAGGCAGATAAAAAATTTAAAAACCCCTGTGTGTTAGGAAAAGACACACGACCCGGTTATTCTTAATTACTGAAGCAAAGTAATTACTTCTCTTAGGCAATTAAAAATTACTCAAGTAATTCTTTCCCTTCCTCCCAACAAAAATGTGCACATATTGTCAGCAATTTGTAAGAAACAAAAGGGAATAATGGGGGTATAATTAGGTTTGTAAAGAAGTGCCTAAATGCACACACACATATTTTGCATGTCTACATATACACATAGGCACATATGTATAGCAAACACATTAGTCTTTCCCAGCTACATGAAGCCAATGATCCCAAAGCCGAGGAAGAATACAATGGCATAATGTTGGTCCTCTGCCTATGGGTGAGTCAGGGCCCTGAATCTACGAAGACAAGGGCACACCTAAAAACTGTGCTGTGGGATGCTAAAGAAGGCTATTGCTTCCTCTAACAGCTCCCCTGACTGTTGCTCATCACCATCCAAATGAGAGGAGAGGAAAGCATGGCTGGTTTTTACATTCCAGGCAGGAGCAAAACAGCAGCAGCTGCAATTGCTTCCTGACCCCCAGGAAGGGGAAGAGGCACACAGGAGCACATGGATAAACCAAAGGTGCTGGTGGCTATTTCTCTGGCTGCCCAGCCAAAGAAATGAGGAATCAGTTTGATATTACCAAAGTGGCACTGTGGGAAGGAAGGGGATGGCCATGGATCTTATTGCCACTCCTTACCTCCCTACACACACACACACTGAATGCCTAGGTGGTTGGCTGACGTACAATTATTTATCAGGCTTTCACCCCATCTGCTTGGTCTGCCTCTTCCTCGCAGGCAGCCTGGGGCCAAGAATGGGAGAGCAGGAGTCTGGGCTGAAAGTGAGGAGGCAACTCCGTGCCCCAGCTTTTCCTTCCTCCTCCCCTTCCGACTCTATTTCCCCCAGCCTCACTTGCTCTCTCTCTCTCTCTCCCCTTTCCTCTTCTTCTGCCTCCATTCTCCTTACCTTCAGCTGCACTCCATCTTTCCTTTCCATCCTCTCTCAGGTCAGTAATCCTATAGTCAGTCCGAACTGACCCACCAAGTGTGCAAAAAGGGAGAGGCTGGCGAATCAGACTGAAGTGCTATTGGACTTACAAACCCGTACACTTTAATTCTGAGCTTTCTTCATTTTTCTCCCCACAGTTCCTTCTCAAAGCAAAGTACTGATGCTCCCAGCCTCGTAGCTGTAAGTCAAGAAACGCTTACAGGCTAAAGGCAGACGAATGGACATACACAGAGCTCACAGGGAATCCATAGGAAAACAACTCTTTCCAGTGTTAAAAAAAAATCATCAATCACACCAGCACATAGGGAACAACTCAAAGCCTGGCTCAAAGATGCGCTGTTCCCAAGAACTGTTTCTGCCAGAGCTGAATTTATTACTGGCGCAGCATGTAAACCAGGCGTGCAAATGGCACGCCATACTCACTCAGTCATGCAGCGCCGTGCTCAGCCCTAACACCTGCATCCCCTGTTGTGTTTCAGCCTCGTTGGTAACGAACCCTCTTTCCTGCCCTGGGCTACAGAAACATCACCTGGCTGAGACATTTGGCACCTGGTTACCCCATGCTTCAGGTCTCAGCCTGTCTTCAGCATCACTATCACAGCAGGAGCAGGCTGCCCCAACAGAGACCAGGGTCCGCTTGTGTCTGTACACAGTGACAGAGCTGCTGCCAGAGGGAGCCTGATGCCCAGGAGCCCAGCAAGCGCTCGGACTCCAGCCCTGCATGTGAGCAACAGCAGAACAAAGTGATGAAATGACTTTCCCAAAAGCAGAGTGAAAACCTGCCTCCTGTCCCCAGCTCCATTTCACAAGGTTTGCTTCAGCTCAATTCTCCAGCCCTGCTACACAGAGATAACCTAAACTGGGATCTCTTCTGCCTTGGGTGCCACAAGGGGCACCTTTGCCTCTAACACTTCCCTGGCAATGTTGTGAGGAACCCAGAGAGCCCCCTCGGAGTTTAAGTCAAACTGGCAGAACCGACAGAGGGAGAGAGCTGGGGACGAGAACTAGAAAAAAGGCAAGAAAAACAATCCTCTTTAGACTTTCACTGTGAACAGTTTGATCTGGGAAGTGAAATGAGAGAGAATATGCCTAGCTCCTTGCAAAGCCATTTTGAGAGCCTCTTTCCTGATGACAAATGCCAGCTCAAAAGAAGAAAGGATCCATTCGATCTTTCTTTTTTAAAGCTACATGAGTGCTTATAGAAAAGCAAGAGAGGGAGAGAGAACCACATCAGGTTGCATCAATTACCATCTGACTCCCCAGACACCCCTTGTTCACTTTTCAGTCCCTTTAGTGTGTTCAACCAAAAGCTGAAACCCTGGAGGAGAAGGAATTGCTTCTGTTCAATGTCAGTTGCATGGGGATGAGTGCTCCAAAGGGGAGCTCCTGCTTACAGCTGGGGCTGATTCCAGGGAAAGGTTTTTTCACACGCAGACAAATTTTGTGGTGTTTGTGCCCCTTAAAGAAAGGGGAATACTGGGTTCTTTTCCAGCTCTGCTACCAAAGCACTGAGTGGTGCTGCGCAAATTATTCACCTTGTCATATCTCAGCTGCTTCGCGTCACCAGGGCAGAATATTACTCCAGTGAAGTGAGAATAGGAAGTTATCCTGGGTATTGAGGCTGCACTGCGCTGGTAGCAAGCTCCATCCCAGCCCAGTGGAGAGGGGGTGTGTATGATCCTTACCCACTGCCCTTCCCTCCTGAGTCCGAACTGGAAGATGCTGGGGGAAGACCCAGCTGAAAGACAGGAGATAACCTCTGTCCCCTGCAGGGTGAGGTGGCTGTGTGTGCTTCAACTAAAATGCTAGTCCCAGCTCTGTCAGCTGGGGCCATAGGCCATGTAAACTTCTGATAAAGCCTATCCACCCAACACAAGCCGCTTGCCCTAGTTGCTTCAAACGCTGCACTGCCTGCCTCAAAAGCACAGGCTGCCCTCGAGACAGGGCTGGCAGGGCAGCAAGCCTTGTTTTGGATCCGACAAGCTCAGCTTCAGAGGATGGCCAGCACAGGAGGGGGTGAGCCAGAAATGCCAAGGCTGAAGACAGCAGCTTCCCTGGTTTGCAAATAAAGAAATGAGTTCCAGTCCCCATGGAGTGAAGGCCTCCTGGCAGAGCTGTGCCAGGGAACCAGAATCAGCTCTGAGCATTCTGCAGGAGCACAGCTCCAGGAACTGCAAGTGTCCAACTCTCCCCTCACATGCACAGGTTTTACCTTGGAGTGACACCACTGACAGTAATGGGACTGGGCCCTAACTGAGCAGAGGGTGACTGAGGTTTCTACAGACACTCCTTGGCCCTGTTCGAAGATCATATGTGCTGCCGAAAGCAGAAGCATTGTAGGCACTTACAGCTTCCATTCATAGGTGTGAGCTGGGGGGTTGGCATCAGATTTGCATATCAGCTTCACATCTTTCCGGTTGAGAAACCAGTTGCCATCAAAGCCCTCAATAGTGACTTCTGGCTCATCTGCAGGGGGACGAAAAAGATAGAAAAGCAGGATGGAAAAGGAGAGGAAAGAGGGATGGAAAAAGAAGGGGGAGAAAATGAAATGGGAAGAGATGAGGGGGCAGGGGTGGGAGAAGGAGAGATTGCAAAGTGGGAAAGATGATGGGACAAGGAATGTGAGAGAGGGTGAATGAAGGAGAGAGAGAAGGGGAGGAACAAAGGGACGTGGCAGAGGCAGAGAGAGAAAGAAGGTGTGGAAAAGAGAAAGTATATGATTATTCCAAGGGATCACTTCAGTTTTCACACTCCAGAAAAAGAGAGCAGCCCCCTACTTCAGCCCCTCCACCAGACCAACATCTTCCCTTCAGAAAAATCCTCTTTTGCCAGACTTTATCACCCACCCCAGGGACTGCCCGCAGAGCACTGCTCTCCAGCCCTGCCCATGCTCACTTACACTGCACGTTGAGGGTCATGCTGTCGGTGAAGCGGTCCAGCTGGTAATTGACCACGCACATGAGCTGCTGCCGGTGAGCCTCCCGGCTCGGCACCAGCCGGTACCGGCTGATCACTGTGATGGTGCCATTGCTATTCCGGATCTCCTGAAACTCCGCTTCCCCTTTGAGCTTGGTGTCCCAGGTGACAGTGCTGGGGGGCTTCCCATTAGAGGAGGTGCAGGTAGCTACCAAGATCTTTTCTGTCCTGCCAGACTTAGCAATAAGTGGCCGCTTGGTGCCCTCCATCCAATTTGTGGGCTTGGCTGCAAGGAAGTGCAAAAAAGGAGGAGGAGAAGAAAAGGGTAAAAAGGGATGGTTAGAAAAGCAATGCTACCTTCTCTACTACAACTCAAGACACATCTAGCAGCACTGAGCCTGTGACAGACCTTGTGGTGAATCCAGAGCTGCTGCAAATTGCCAGCAACCTGCTCTGGGGAAAGAATGGTGGAGGTGCCCTAGGTGCACAGATACGTGATGGAAAGTCAATCCTTTCCTGCCATAGGTTTTCAGCCCTATGTTAGCATGAGAAACCAAACTGGAGAGCAAATGAATCATGTAGACCTTGGGAGGGGTCTATTCACTCACAAGCCTAAGCTCCATGGACAAGCTCTACTTGTGCTTACGATCTCTCTGTTGTCTTTTCTCTCTGTTCACTTGACAGCCACCAGCTCATTAAAACTCACCACTCCCTTAGGGAACAGGTCACTGTTATTGCACCTGCATTAAGAGACAGGGGAACTGAGGCCTGGAAAGAGGAAGGGGCGTTCCTGTGATAGCTCAGTGAATCACCTACCCTGGGTTCCCTGTTCTTCACCTGTTTACAGTCAACTTGAAAGATCATCATAGGTAAAATTTACACCCAAGATTCACCTTTGCCCTGAGCTCCCAGGACAGGAGTCTCAGGTTCCTCCAGATCTGTTTAACTGGAGGCAATGGTTCACACTACAAAGCTTGTCCAGTATCTTACCCAGCACAGTGAGGTTCAGTTGACTTTCCCGGTTGCCAGTTGGGAAGGTAGCAAACTCACAGATGTAAACTCCCTCATCCTCCAGCTCTAGCCGAGAGAGCTGAATGGTGCCATCTTTGAAGGAAGGATTCCGGAAAGTCACCCGCTCTTTGTAGGGAGAGAGGATGGAGACCCCCATGGCAGGGTTGTAGATGGCCACATTCTGCTTGGAGCCGTTGGTGGCTTTCTGCCACGTGACCTGCGTGATCTTCACATTGGGGAGTGGATTGGTGAAGCTGCAGTGCAGGACCACATCTGTCCCGATAAACCCCGAGACTGTGTCATTGACTAAGACAGTCTGAGCTTGCAGCCCTGCAATAAAATGAAAAGACATGAATATACGTGTACTTCTCAGAAAGAGAGAAAAAGACATGGTTCTTGGATATCAGGCCCATGAATTCCTTTATTTATTCCATTTGCTGCTTCTTGGCATGGCTGATACAAGAACAGTCTATGGCTATGGGCACTCAGTACCTTCTGCAACTACCTGCATCCACCTGCAGCTCCTGAAGCTTTATTCCTGTTCATAAACACCTTCCTTCCCACAACTGGTGTTCACACTTCACTACAACCAGCCCGAATGCTCTGCAGCCAACCTAGGGCTCATGATCACCAAAAGGAACAAGGCTGGATCAGTAATATTTTCCTTCCTTTTGTCTTCAACTTTGGATGACACTAAATCAGTTATGGTGAATATACAGAGCATGCATATCTGGAGGCATACGAAAGCACTGGTATTTATCAGCATAGCATATCCTAACATATGATAACACACACTCAGACATCCATTTAATCCTATTGGAAATGCATCAGTAATTAAATGAGCTGCAAAGACTCAGACCTGATGAGTAGCAATAGTTCCCGTATAAGAACAGATCTACAGCACTGCCTATACACCTTGCATGATCTAGATCGTTTCTGTGGCCTTTTAACCCCAGAGGTGGCTGCATTTAGGAACCTTCCATCTTGATTCTGCGGAGTAAAGATGGAAGTTGTTTGGGAAAAGTGGTGGCTGGTGTTCATGACTGCTCTTCTGTCTCAGCTGATTCCTCCCCTAACAGCTGGAGAAAAATGTCTCCCACCAGACTGACCCTGAAATTCATCTTTGGCTGCCACTGTAGCCTAATCTGTATGTTTAGAGATAATGCTCTGATAATTATACAGCCAGTATTTATATGATAAATACAACAGAGAAGCAAGGTGGTAAGAACAAGAAAAGTGGGTTTTGCTCACTGCTTCTGGCAGAATCTGAAATTGGATGTATTCTGGGAGACTGAGAGTAAAGGAAAGAAAGGGGTAATAAAAAAAGAAAGATGCACAAAGAGTGAGGAACATGAAAGGGTAATGAAAGAGAGAGAGGCTGGGGAAAGAAAAAAGTGCATAGCAAGAGAAACGGGACAGCATCTTCTAACTGAGGGGACAGAGCATTTCTGAAATGTCCCCCCTACCCTGTTCTTCCAGGGGACGAATGGCCAAAATGAACTCCTCGGTCTTAGCCCCCACAGACCCCTGGCAGATGTGCCCTGTGACTTCTACATGTGAACCTGAGCAAGAGCCTCCTTCCTGCAGTTTCACACACACGCAAGTGCAGGCATACAAAAGCCTTCTCACCCACAAACACCGCCGTTACCGTTCTCTTGGCACTCTCCCATGTTGCCCCCTCACTCTATGCCTGCTGTACTCAGCTTGATCTCCGTCCCCACATCTCATCTAAGCCTCTTCTTTCTCCTCTTCTCCTTCCCTCCCGGCCAAGCCTGTGACCCTGAGGACAAGCCTCAACAATCCAGCCCGGCCATGAGACGCCATCAGCTGACCACAGTCATCAGCAGTTTAGACTGAAACTCAGTCTCTAGAGCTTTGTGTGAACTTGCCCCCTTCTCCGAGTCAAGCGCTGGTTTGCCCCACACCCTAGCATTGCGGCTGGGTGCTGAGGAATGTTTTTCAGCGTTGCTTACAGCCACAGCAAAGCACTGGTGCCCTCATGTGCCTGCATGCATGAAGCCATCGAGTCCTTAGAGGCTGTCAGTTGAGCTCGCAGGTTGCCCGTTTCCCCTCCCAGTGTAGCCAGGGCCATTTTTTCCATGCATGTCCCTCCAGAAACCAGAGGGAAGCGATGTTCCTCCTCTGATAAAGTCACAGCTGGCCCATGTTTCTCCATGCCAACCAGAAGCACTGGCCTATTGGAGAAGGATGTCCAGGCAGTAAGACACAGTGAAAGACTTTTCTGACACCAGTCTGGCCTGTGCCCTGTGGGACCCTGTGGCCCACAACGGCCCTCCTGATGAAATGCGGGCACCGGGTGCAGAGCAAGGCTGGGTTTAGATAATGCTATGCTGGGATTTGAGGAAAGAACGGGTGGATGGGGAGGGGGGAAATGTCTCCAACATGCTTTGCAGCATATGCTGCTCCTTCTGCCCCGGAGGTGAGAGAGCCTCTTGCAGAATTGCCCAGACCTGCAGAGGTGAGCAACAGCTTTGCCAAGGAGTCAGGCTCTGAAGTCTTTAGAGCCTCGCAAAGCGTGTGGGAGCTTGCCGGAGAGCAAAAGCAATCACGTAGCAAAGGCCCTGGGAACAACCTGCCGCCCATCTCACGGCTGCCTGGCTGTAGGTGTGCTCAGCACTCCCTCTTTCTCCCAAGGCTGGAGGAGAGCGGATTCATCAGCACCGGTCCCCACCTCTTTCATGAAGGGCCCATGCCCCCGAGCAGAGCCTGCCCGGGGCTGGGGCGATGGCACAGCTGGCTCCGCTCCCACACAAGCTCCCTGACCCCCCACAGGCCTCAGCGGTTCCCTTTGAACCACGCTTTCGACATCCCAATACAAGACGCCCTGTTCGCGACAGCAGGAAATCGTGGCCAGAAAAGTGAGAGATGAGCCGAACCCCAGAGGGGAGAGGATGGAAAGGCACTGGCTTCTCCTCGGAGTCACCCTTGCAGGGCAGCTGGGAGGACAGCCCAGTCTCTCCCTAGCAGGGCATGCAGACGAGCACTGCACACAGAAAGCTATGCCAGTCTGAAGGCCACCACTGCCCAAGGATGGGCACCTAAGACATGCCCCTTAAATACAGACATTGTCAGCCAACCTGGCACAGAATGTGATGTGTATCACAAGAGAGAGATCAAACCAATCCCTCACTTCATCATTACTATGCCCTTTCTTTATGCTATGATTTCCCTGCAAATTAATGAATGACCATTTTAAAAATCAAGGGATTTTTCTTGACCTTGAGTGGTAGTAACAATTCCCAGTTCTACCCTCTCCCTTCTACCCTACCCGTGCCATGGGATCCATGCATCAGTGCAGACTGTACTGGGACACAAATTGGAGAAAAAGCAGACTTCGCTGCTGACGAACCTGACCCTGAACCAGACCCCAGAATGGTCCTGCAGAACCCTCCTCTGCCCAGGTGTAAAGAGTCAGGCTTTCGGCTAGGCAAAAAGCCGGTGCCAGTTGAGGACTGCTTGCCAACAACAAAATGCTGCCAAAGCTGGGATTCAGGCCCCTACATGTAGCAGCTTTAACAAAAACACATTCCAAACTTTCTAGAGGCTTCAGGGGAAGAGGGAAAAAAAGAAACAGCAGAAGAAATAATAAAACAAAACAAACAAAAAATACCCAAAAAAACCCCAAACACCATGCGGAAATCGTGTTTCCTTTCCAGGTGACTGAATAACTCATGGCTCTTTTGCAAGACAGGGTAAACTCTTTATGTTCCGCTCCTCCAAGCCTCTCATCAGGGAAATAACGCACCCATTGCTCTGCTCCGTACTACGGCAATAACACCCACGCCTCAACAGCACTGATGAGGAAGGGGAACAGACGGAGTAAAGGGGTTTTGCAAGTTGCTGGATCAGCTTCCCATGATCCCCATCCTAAATCAGAAGCCAGAGGGCAAACTAGCTGCTGTCATGCTCTGGGGAGCATTTGTTTGCAAGGTAACCAAGCTGGGATGGCGGGTCTTCCCTCGCCCCGTTACATACTCAATAATTCATCAGGGCAAATGCATAGATAATTGATGGCAATAAGCATGTGAGGCCGGGAGAGGAGGAGAAAAGAAAATCACTAATCAGCCTCTGGAGAGGCTTGAACGTATTAAGCAGGATGTGTGTGTGCATGTGCCGTGCTGGGGTTCGCCTTGCTTTTTCTTTGCTGAATGACGTGTGTGGTCGGTATGGCAGAGAAAAGGCTTGGGATACATCCTGCCATTTGCGGTTCCTATGCCAGATCTCCCAGTGCCCACCGATCCACTCTGACACCTCCCAGGAGGCAGCCAGCACACAAGGAAGGATTAGCTGTATAGGTTGAAGCTTGCCGAGTCGCGTTTTACTCATTAGTTTTTTGGTGTTATTTTTTGTTAAGGACCAAAAGCAGTAAAAAAGGCCCAGCTGAGTGCCAAAGATGTGTTGGTGCCAAGACCTCATTAGTGGAGACCTCTGAGATCCTACTCCTCCACCTTGGCCTCTGAAGTGGTTTGTGTTGATGCCTTTCCCCACGATCCCAAACCCAGATATTTACTAGGTCATGCAAGGCCTTGGGGGCACTGTGCAGAACTCGGGGTGCACTGTGGCACAGGCAGCGGGCTGGGAAGGAAGGTCTGGACTCCCTGAGTGTGAGGGGCACTGGGGAGGGAGCAGACTGAAGTGGCAGCTGGTGGCTCTTGAACCTGAAAACCCTTTCTCCTAAAAGCCCGAGAGGTGCTGTTACATTGAGGCTCCCACACTTGCAAATCTGGTTCTTGCTCCCCCATATAGAAAGCTCTGGAAATGATCTCCAGGCACTAGTGAGCTCTGTCACAACAGCGAGCCTCCAATCAATGCCTCTTTGTTAAGAACCATGTGAACTCCACACTGCTTTGCACAACCTTGCCTCTGCTGAGCCTCTCACCAATTTCTCTCCCTCCTGTTCCCTGATACTCATCTCACCCCAAGGGCATTGAAACAGCCCTTGGCAGAAGTGTGATGAGCCACCCTTTGGTGTGGCAACATCAAGGCTGATGCAAATGTCAGAGGAATCAGTCCTAAGAGGCTTTGCATCACTTAGAACTAAACTGAAAGGTCACAGTAGCCAGACCGTACAAAAGGACAAAACAAAGCATCACGCTTTGAACCTACAAAAGACCCTACACAAAGCACCTGATTTTGAGACAGCTCCTTGCACCACACCTTGACTATGGGCAATGATGTCCTGTACATGGTCCCATATGCCTCACAGACACTTCAAACAGATCTCCAAGAACTTTCCATAAAAATGGAACGGAGCAGGAGCTCAAAACTTTCCAGCTGATGGCACTTATAAACTTTTCTCCTGGTATTTCTGAATTCATCTTTCAAGTCTTCCCTATTTTTAAGTGGAAATCAAGGTCTGAAATGCAACCCTTGTGGGGCAGAACACAACCAGCCTCCAACAGCCCAAAGGAACGCCACGGGTGTGTTAGGCAGGGTGGGAAATGGGAAAGAAGATCCTAAATCCCAGCAGGGGAATTTCAGGTGGCAAGAAGCAAAGGTTTGAACTGGCACTTGGCCAAGACGTTGGGGTTAATACCTTTCCTCTTGCCAGAGAGACTTTGTATTGATTGCCAGGCATTCAAATCAGTGCTCTTGCTGCTCTTCCAAAAGAGCACAGTGCCTGCCTCGCTCCATGTAGTCAATGGCTTGCAGCCGACCGCAAGGAAGGAGTGGTCTCCCGTGACTCACCAACATGTACTTCCTGCAGCAGCAGACTTTCACTGGAGGTCTCTGTGTCATGCATTGATTCAGTCCTGCCCCACTTAAATGCGGAGCTTGAACACCAAAGGGATTAGAAGAGGAAGACTGAGTTTCCAACACAAAGGAAGGGGGCCTTAGAAGGAAGATGAGAGAGTAAGAGATGTGGCAAGCTTATAGCTCCAGGTGACATGGCCGCACATGAAAGTGAAAGGCCTGAGATAACATTGTGATCGGGTCGGGGCACACCAAGAGAAACTGCAAGCCCAAGCATCCCTTCGCCCAGCTGAGAGCTGGGAGCTTTATGGGAGCTGATAGGGAAATGGCAGCGTGTACAATGGCCCATCTGATTCTCATCCAAATCCCTCTCAAAAAAGAAAGAACAGGCTTCGCTTTGGCTTGCAAATGGGAAACACAGGGCCTTTTACTCTAGGTCACTGCTTCATATCCAGAACCAGCACATAGGAGCAACAGCAGAGATGTTATTATCTGAGGACCAGTCAATGGCTTGTATTGAGTGAGGTCTCTAGCCAGCCCTTCATTGGCTGCCTGCTGGGACAGGACAGTGGAGATGCCTTTGGGATAAAGCAGGGTTGCCTTCTCCTGCCTGTGTAGTATTTCCTCTTCGGATAAATAGAGCACAAAGCAGCCTCAGGATCCACTTGAATGAAAGATCTTTCCCAAAGGGCCTGATCCATTGATGCTCCGCTTGTTCTCTGTTAAGGTTTGGGAAGTCTATTCATTGAGCCACCACTGGCATTCACACAAAGGCCCTAAACAAGACCAAGGCCATGTTTGTCCTAGGTGTTCTTCATAGAAGTAGATGAAAGAAAAGCAGACGCCAGGGTGAGACCAGCCACAGATCAAAAAGACAGCAAAAAGCAGAGCTGACCACCAGACTAGACCACTAGTTCTTGCTGTCTGTGCTTCAACCGTGCAAACAGCCTCAGTTGCGGCCAACCTTCTAGTTCTCTAGGAAAAGGGCTGCAAACCAGAGGAGTGGGAAGGGAACAACCATGCCTGCCTTTGCTCCTGGCTTTCACTCTTTGCTGTACCTTCCCTGGCTTTCACTCAGCTGCTTTGCTTCACCCCCCAAGTCAAGGGGAGGGGAACATGCCCCATGGCAAAAGCAGGAAGGCTGGCAGAGCAGGGCTCCTGCTG